GTTTCCCCAAACCCCAAACCCCAAACCCCAGACCCCAAACCCCAAACCCCAAACCCTAAACCCTAAACCCTAAACCCTCGCGACCTGGAGGTGGAGGAGTTGGCGTTTGGCGTTGCAGAAGACTTTGAGGATTTTAGGGTTTGCAGTGACGCTGTTGAGTTTGTACAAATAAGGATAAATTCGAAAAGGGTCTATTAAATAGTTTTTTTCTTCTGTGCTTAAAACCAAACAGCAGCAAAACCCTCGGTAGCTGCGGCAGCAGCTCTTCACCGAAACCGCCAGCATGCTGCACGCGCCTGCGACGCCGCAGCACCTTTCTAGGGTTTAGGGTTTAGGGTTTAGGGTTTGGGGTTTAGGGTTTGGGGGGCAGCTGGGTGAGGGGGCTTCAGGGGGCGTGCAGACGCCCCAGGTCAGGGGTTTGCCGCTTTAAACGTAGCTTTAGCCCTAGGGTTTGGGGTTTAGGGCTTAGGGTTTAGGGTTTAGGGTTTAGGGTTTAGGGTTTAGGGTTTAGGGTTTAGGGTTTACGGTCCTGGAAAGCGTCAACAAAGGCCTGGAGATCTGCTAAGGAGGAAACGAGAGTAAAGCGCAGAGGCGAAGATGACGGAGGCACTGGGGGGGCGGTGAGGGGCCTTTCATCTTCGAAACAAATCAAAACCCTAAACCCTAAACCCTAAACCCTAAACCCTAAACCCTTGATTTGTTAGTGTTAGCAAATGTGAACGAGACAGAGACAGATGCCCGCACTGGATTTGGTGCGGGCAACAAAAGCACTTACCTCTAGACCCCAAACCCTAAACCCTAGCCCCTGAAGCCTGAACCCTAGCCGCTAAACCCTAAACCCTAAACCCTAAACCCTAAACCCTCAAACGTAGACTCAAACACCAAAGCCTTCGTCGTCTTCCCTGCAGCCCAGCTACCCAACAGTCGACACCCCCTTGGAATCATCATGAGACTTGAGATTGTAGGGCTTAGGGTTTATCGCACAGGGTTTAGGGTTTAGGGTTTAGGGTTTAGGGTTTAGGGTTTAGGGCTTAGGGTTTACGGGTAACTGGCTGCAGCTGGCCGCTAACAAGCAGCGGTTTGCGACTGCGTTGTCGCGGCTTTCTCCGCGGGCGTGCGGGAGCGTCGACCTAGGGTTTAGGGTTTGGGGCTTAGGGTTTAGGGTTTAGGGTTTAGGGTTTAGGGTTTACCCGGGGGTTTGAGGCGGACTTGTTTGATTTCTCGCCGATAAGGGTTTGGCAAGTGGTGCTGGCCCTCGAGCTGCAGAAACTGCTGATAGTCCCAAACCCTTCTGGAAACCCCCCTTTGGCGTTTGTGGCGAAGACCCCTGGCGACATCTCTAAACCTCTCTTTTTGGGACTTTTGGATTTCCCAGTCCAGCGAAACCCTAAAAAAGGGTTTGCAAGGAAGCTTCGGAACAAACAAACCCTCGAAGTTGTCCGTCAGCTGCACCCACTGCCGCTGCGGCAAACCCGCGGGGGGCCCCCAGGGGCCCCTGTACTCCCCCCGCCACAGCGCCAGCAGCGACATCCCAAACCCTAAACCCTAAACCCTAAACCCTAAACCCTAAACCCTAAACCCTAAACCCTCGCCGCCCCGGGACGCCCCGCGCGCAGCTACAAACGCTGCTCGCGGCAACGCGCAGACTCGCGCGAGCGCACTGCTGTCCGGCTCAAACCTCCAGGGTTTAGGGTTTAGGGTTTAGGGTTTAGGGTTTAGGGTTTAGGGTTTGCAAGGGCCTGGGGGCAGCAGACGATGGAGAGAGGCAGCCAATATCCCCCAAGCGGCTGCGACTCCGGATAACAGTCACTAGGGTTTGGGCTCTGGGGTCTAGGGTTTAGGGTTTAGGGTTTAGGGTTTAGAAAGTGCACTCGAGGTTCTGTAGCTGGAAATTGTAAAAAAGAAGTTTCTACTCGCGGAAACGCTGCGCGACAGCGCCGGTTGTCAGCATACGCAAACCCTAAACCCTAAACCCTCAACTCCAAACCCTAAACCCTCAAAGGCCAGCCGCAGCCGCCAAACCCTACAAAAGCGACAAAATAAAATTAATTTAATTGAAAAATTTAAACAAACGAAACGCAAGAGTTCAAGAGCTGCGCGGCGCTCCGGGGCCGGGCTGGAAGCGACCAGACCAGTCCGCCAAACCCTAAACCCTAAACCCTAAACCCTAAACCCTAAACCCTAAACCCTAAACCCTAACTGCGACACTCCACGCTGCTGAAACTTAAACCCTGACTTGCAACCCTGAAACATGGACTAAGAGGAGGAGAACGCTAAACCCTAAACCCTAAACCCTGAACACTAAACCCTCACATCCGTAAACCCTAGCTGCGGGTATTCTCTGTATTCGGCTGCGCTGGGTTGCTGCACTCTAGCTTTTATTTTTTAAACTTTTAATTTAATTTTTTATTTTTATTTTTATTTTTATTTTTTATTTTTCATTATTTCGCCTTTTAGGGTTTTGAATGGCCCCAAAGAGCACACGGGGCAGCCCAGGTGACCCCAGGAGTCGGGTTTGAGTTTCAGAATTCAGCTTGCAGGGTTTAGGAGGGTTTACGAGGGTTTGTGAGGGTTTAAGAGGGTTTAAGAGGGTTTAAGAAGGTTTATCGGGGCTTCTGAGGGTTTAGGAGGGTTTGGGAGGCTTTAGAAGGGCTTATGAGTGTTTCTGAGGGTTTATGAGGGTTTATGAGGGTTTACGAGGGTTTACGAGGGTTTACGAGGGTTTATGAGGGTTTAGGGTTTTGGACGCCGGCACTGAAAACCCCAGCTTTTGGGCCAAAGCTGCAGGGCCTTCTGCTGCGTCTCCAGGAGAATGCTCGAACTCTTCTTAGCAGCAGCTGGCTTCCTGCTGCTGCTGCTGCTGCTGCTGCTGCTGCTGCTGCTGCTGCTGCTGCTGCTGCTGTGGCAGCGCAAAGGCATGTGTGAGAAGCGGCCGAGCTCTCCTGCCGTATGCCACTGGGCTGCATGCAGTTTGTGCTGCTGCTGCTGCTGCTGCTGCTGCTGCTGCTGCTGCTGCTGCTGCTGCTGCGGTGCCCTCAGTGCTGCATGCAGTTTGTCCTGCTGCTGCTGCTGCTGCTGCGGCTGCAGAACGCCCAGTGCTGCATGCATTTCGTGCTGCTGCTGCTGCTGCTGCTGCTGCGAAGCTTCCTCAAAGTGCAGCAGTGGCTTTACGCCAGTGGACCACTGGTCCAACTTCCTGGGCAAAAGAGCCAAAATAGATAATTTGTTTTCTTTAGAAAAACCCTCAAGGGCAAGTGCAGCATGAGGGCGGCAGCGAGGGTTTAGGGTTTAGGGTTTAGGGTTTAGACAGCTGGCTTGGGGCCGGGCTCAACGCTCTGCAGGCACACTTGCGGCGGCCCTAGGCAAGCAGCAGCAGCAGCAGCAGCAGCAGCAGCAGCAGCAGCAGCAGCAGCAGCAGCAGAGAGGCTCAAAGAGCAGCCTCGATGCAGCTTGTAGAGCCAATTATGGCTGACTTTCGAAGGAACGCATGCATGCATGCATGCATGCATGCATGCATGCATGCATACATGTCCTCGATAATGCATGCATGCATGCATGCATGCAGACACTGGCCAAAACCTGCTTGCATGCATTAAGGAGTGCATGCATGCATGCATGCATGCATGCACTTCTTGACGCCTGCATGCATGCATGCATGCGTGCATGCATGCATGCATGCATGCAGGCGTGCATGCATGCGTGCATGCATGCATGCATGCATGCATGCATGCATGCATGTTTTGGGGGGCGTTTTCAGAGCAGCAAGGGGGGCTGAAGGCAGCGGGGCTGTTGCGTTGGGGGTAGGCTTTTGATTTATTTATTTCTTGTTGCTTTTTGGTTTATTATTATCATTATTACATTTATTATAATTCTTTTTTCATATTTATTTTAATTTCTTCATTTTTATTACTATTGTTATTCTTATTGCGTTGCAAAATCGGGCCGGAAACCCCTGAAACGAGTTGCTGCTGCTCCTGCCGTCTGCTGCTGCTGCAGCACAGCTGCAGCAGCAGCAGCCGAGCAGCAGCAGCAGCAGCAGCCGAGCAGCAGCAGCAGCAGCAGCCGAGCAGCAGCAGCAGCAGCAGCAGCAGTAGCCGCTGCAGCAGCAGTAGCCGCTGCAGCAGCAGTAGCCGCTGCAGCAGCCCCTGCAGCAGCCGTTGCAGCAGCCGCTGCAGCAGCCGTTTGCGGCGCAGCTGGGCGCCGCGCCGCAGCTCTTCCTTTCGGAAGCCGTAAACCCTAAACCCTAAACCCTAATTTAGGGTTTAGAGGAGGAGCTGGTCTGTGAGGGGGAGTTTGACTGCGTTGCATCTGCCATGCATGTATTTAAAATAACCATTTGTGGGGGCCCTCAAAAGACTAAACAAAGAAGCAAATTTTGCATTTTGCTTTTTGCTGCAGCACTTTTGTTTTGCTGCTAAAGCTTTCAGGGGGCTCTTCAGCGGCGAGTTTTCGTCCCCCCAAGCTGCTGCTGCTGCTGCTGCTGCTGCTGCTGCTGCTGCTGCTTTCTCTCCCTTTTTCTTTTCTTCTCCAACTCTTTCCTTTCCTTTTAAATCCCTTTCGGGGGTTTTGCTGCTGCTGCTGCTGCTGCTGCTGCTGCCGCTGCTTCCCGCCACGCTGCTGCTCGTCGCCCTCCGGGGTGTTCCCGGCTCGGCCGCCGCTGCTGCTGCTGCTGCTGCTGCTGCTGCTGCTGTTGCTGCTGCTGGGGCTGCTGCTGCTGCCTTCGAGGGCTTGAAATGCGCGTTTTTCGAAGTCTCCATTTGCGGGGCCACATAAAAGACCTTGTGGATCGCAGCCTCCCTGCGCGCAATATCCTAAACCCTAAACCCTAAACCCTAAACCCTAAACCCTAAACCCTAAACCCTGAGTCCTGAGGCTCGAATCCCATGCCATGAATCTCAAAGAGCTGCTGCCAGAGCGCTCCGCACACTTGAGTTCGAGACCCTCAGCCTAAACCCCAAACCCTACCCGGTTCCCCCAAACCCTAAACCCTAAACCCTAAACCCTAAACCCTAAACCCTTGCGAACCTGGCAATCTTTTGGGCCTCTGCCCTTTCATTTCTGAAGAACGCGTCTTTGCTGAGGGCTGCGAGAGCAGCAGCGAGAGGGTCGAGCGGCGGCAGCCCAGTTTGCTTCTGCGCGCTGCTGCTGCTGCTGCTGCTGCTGCTGCTGCTGCTGCTGCTGCTGCTGCTGGCTGCGGGCTTGAGGGCCAAGGGCCTGCTGCTGCTGACGCCCCACAGAGACAAAACTGCTTCGGGAAGAGACAAACCCCACACTTTGCTGCTGAGGATTTTCTTTGTTTCCAAAAGGAGACAAACAGCAGCATCGGAAACTCCGTAGAGGGGGTGCTGCAGCGGCGCGTGCTGCAGCTGCTCGAAAGGGTCGCTGCTGCTGCTGCTGCTGCTGCTGCTGCTGCAGCGGCGGAAGTTCGAAAGCCCGTCCCTCAGGCCCCGTGCTGCTCCTGTTGCTGTCAGCTGGCGGCTGAGTGCGTAGCCCACGTACCACCTGCTGCTGCTGCTGCTGCTGCTGTAGCGCCGCAGCACCTTCTGCTGCTGCTGCTGCTGCTGCAGCCGACAGTCACAAAGACACCCCAGCAGGTGCAGCGGCGGCTCAAGTCGATAGGAAGTGTAAACCCCCGTGAGGCTCTGTAGAGACACTCCGCCCTGCAGCGCAGCAGCAAGGGTTTGCGGCGAGGGTTTAGGGTTTGGCGAGAGCCGAAGCAGCAGCAGCAGATTGCTGCCAGCAGCAGGGCCGCCGCAGCAGCGCAGAAGGCGCCAGCAGCAGCAACAGCAGCGGCCGTGGGCAGCAGCAGCAGCGGCGTCGGCAGCAGCAGCAGCACTTGTGGCAGCTGCAGCAGGAGCAACTGCACCAGCAGCAGCAGCAGCGCCCACAGCAGCAGACTCCCAGCACGTGCAGCAGCAGCAGCAGACTTCCAGCACGTGCAGCAGCAGCAGCAGACTCCCAGCACGTGCAGCAGCAGCAGCAGACTCCCAGCACGTGCAGCAGCAGCAGCAGACTCCCAGCACGTGCAGCAGCAGCAGCAGCAGCAGCAGCACGCACAGCAGCAGACTCCGTGTCTTGTCTTTGCTGCTGCAGCCGCAGCCCGTAGGCCGTCAGAAGAGCAGCACGTTGAGCAGCAAGTCGGAGGGCTTTGGGTTCTGCTGCTGAGGTGTACAGACACCCCACAGCAAGGCTCACCAGCCGCTGCTGCTTCTCCCCTGCACAAGCAGCAGCAGCAGCAGCAGCCGCAGCAGCAGCAGCCGCAGCAGCAGCAGCGGGTGAGCGCGAGCAGCAGCGCTTCAGCAGCAGCTGCCAGCTGCTGCGCCTCACTTGGGACGGCAGGCGCCACCGGGCCTTTAAAGCTAGGGTTTAGGGTTTAGGGTTTAGGGTTTAGGGTTTGCGCGTGCCTGTGAGCATTCGCGAGAGCTGCTGCAGCATCTGGGGCGCGGAGTCGAAGCTTTGCTGCCCCTCCTGCATCTGCAGCCGGCCGCTGCTGCCACTGCTGCTGCTGCTGCTGCTGCTGCTGCTGCTGCTGCTGCTGCTGCTGCTAAGGGCCCCCGCCCCAGCCAGCAGCGGGGCCCTTTCAGAAGCAAATGGCAGTGCGAGCCGCAGCAGCGCGGGAGCTGTCTCTGTGACGAAGGCCTTGCGAAGGTAAGCAGCAGCAGCTGGACGACTCCCGGGAGCAGCAGCAGCAGCAGCAGCAGCAGCAGCAAGACACGAGCGGCGGCGCTGCTCTGCTGCTGCTGCTATTCTGTACAGAGACACTGCAACGGGCGGGCAGCTGTACAGACACCGCGACGGCGGAGGAGCCACACAAAAAAATCGGACGAAGAGACAAACTGGCAGCAGCGGGAGCGCGCCAGCAGCAGCAGCAGCAGCAGCAGCAGCAGCAGCAGCAGCAGACTGCATGTCCATCAGCGCTAATAGGCCTGACAAATCCACACAGACAGCAGCAGCAAAGTCTGCATAAACACCTCCAAATGCTTTCGCAGGCCTTAAGCCAAAGCTGCTCGTTTGCTTCGGCAGCAGCAGCAGCAGTAGCAGCAAAGCAGCAGCAGCAGCAGCAGCAGCAAAGCAGCAGCAGCAGCAGCAAAGCAGCAGCAGCGAACTCACGTGATAGATAAGCAATCTTGTGCATGCGCGTGTCGCCGCAGATGAACTGAAAACACCCAAGACAAGAGTTTAAATACATAAAATAAAATAAAATAAAATAAAATAAAATAAAATGAAATAAAATAAAATAATAAAATAAAATAAATAAAATAAAATAAAAAGTGCAAATATGAAGCAGCAAAAGTAGAAGATCAGCAGCAACAGAGACCAGCAGCCCCCACAGACAAAAAACGACCTCCCCAGCA